CTGGAGCGAGAGAGGCTGCGGTGGGGGATGAGCGCAGACCCCGGGGCGCCTCCCTTAACAGTAGTAGTGCCCCTAGCGCCCAGGACCCCAGGCTGTAGTTTCACACGGTTCGTTGCTCAACAGCCTCCAAACAGCCAGGCAGGCACGCTACCACCCCAGCTGGCAAGTGGAAGAGGCAGAAACTCCCCAAAGTCAGGCATTGAGAGAATTTTCCAGAAAGAAAAGCCCATTGGACTAAGCGCACTTTTATTTATTTTTAAAATTCACATACCCCGCTGCCTCCACCTCCAGTGTGTTTTTGGAAGGGGGAAGAGGTTTTACATATCACGAAGGTCTGCATTGCATGGTTCGCTTTGTTTATTTGTTTTTCTTCTGCCTGACACATGATTCTTTAATGTTCCATAGGATGCTATGGATACGGAATATTGCTTTAGGAACAAAAAGTACAGTAAGTGTTAGGATTTGGAACCAAACTGGTTATCTGCCTTGGAGGAGCTTTGAGATGTATGTTCTTAGTAAGACTTAAAAAACAGTGTACATCACAGTACAGCCTCTGTCCTTATGAAGTCCAACCATTAGTCAGTGATTTTAATTTTTCTAACAGTATTAAAATATTCGCTATCTAAGCAGAGTACCAGATATTTCAGTCCCTTTTATTATTTCTATCATTACCACAAATTGTCAATATTTCTTGGAAATATGACTCAGTCTTAACAATGTGGCCAGGAAACCAATGCAGTAAAATGCATTTTCATTTTACTTATAAACATTTTGTAGTTGACTAATTCCTTCACTGACCAGGGGAAAAATGAACCTTAATGTAGTTGTTGGGTTTTTAAACCAATATCTACTGCTGAGTGGAAGTAACTGACAAGATCAGGAACAAAGTCCCAATACCTTCGTAGCAATATCATGTATTTTCTGAAGCGACATTGATTTCCCACTGTGGGTAGAGGCAGGATATAACATTTGGAGAAAGGAATGGAGATCTTTGACATCTGTTCATGTCTAGGCCAACAAGATGCTATGGCCTTTCTCCTGCAAAGGATCCTGAAGTATGTCATCCCCCCAAATAAGTGTCTCTTTATGTGATAATGTGTTCAGAACACAGAAACCAGCCCAAGTTGTACACGTGCCCCACCCTGAACATCATTCGGAAAACAAACTCTCCAGGTGTTAGCTCCTCAGAGGTGAGTGTCATCTCCAGCCGTTAACTGTATGCCTCACTGGATACACTCAATGTTTATTGCAAGACTTTGGCTTTTTTAGAGCACTCAGCATAAACATGTGATTCATATGTCATCCATGTGACCTGACTTCAAGGTGATCTGCTGTTGGATGAGTTTCCAATCTATACTAATCTGTACTAATAAAAGGGTAATATGCTAATTAGACCGGGTCAACCAGCCATCTTCTGGATGGCTGACTTCCTTCCAGACAAAGCTATGGTGGTGGGGGCCGAGGCAGAGGCAGTTAGGGGCAAGATCAGGCCTGCAGGGGAGGGCCATTGGGAGCGACCAGGCCGACTGGGGAGGGCCATTGGGGTTGACCAGGCCTGCAGGGGAGAGCTGTTGGGGGTGACCAGGCCGACAGGGGAGGGCAGTTGGGGGCATTAGGCAGGCAGGGGAGGGCTGTTGGGGATGACCAGGCTGGCAGGGGAGGGCAGTTGGGGGCATTAGGCAGGCAGGCAGGTGAGTGGTTAGGAGCCAGTGGTCCTGGATTGTGTGAAGTATGTCTGACTGCCGGCAGTTGGTCATCCCCCCAAGGAGTCCCAGATTAGAGAGTGTGCAGGCCAGGCTGAGGGACACCCCCCCCTCCGTGCACGAATTTTGTGCACCAGGCCTCTAGTATAAAGGCCTCTAGTAAAGAAAAGGGCCTCAGACATCTGTGTGGTGGTTACCAGAGAGAAGGTTGGAGGGTAGTAAAGGGTAAAGGGGACCAAATATATGGTGATGGAAGGAGTCTTGACTCTGGGTGGTGTGCACACAATGCAATACATAGATCATGTATCATAGAAATGTACATGTGGAACCTATGTAATCTTATTAACCAATGTCACACCAATACATTTAATTAAAAAAACATAAAAAATAGAACAAGAAAAGTTCAAATCCATAGAAAAAAGCGAAGGGCATCCATTTTAAGCAAGGGGAGTTCTGAGTTAATTTAGGAAAGCACTTCAACTGCTTTTAAGGGGGAACTTGGTCATGGTCACTGCAAAAGAATAATAAAGATAAGTTTCAAATGTGAAAAGTGAAGTGTGACAAAAGCTTTTATAGTCCAGATCAACCACCAAACACTTTACATAGAAAGTCATAACATTAAAACAACAAGAGAAAGAGAAAGAAGGAAGGAAGGGAGCGGGGACTGGAAAATGATTTATGTTCTTTTTCTTATGAAAAGTGCCCGATGGATATTTTATTTTCAGTTTTGTCAATGTAGACCAAAATCTTATCTTAAATACCATCTGCTATGTCATCTCCAGGGCTGGAAATAGTGCGAGGAAACACATTTGCATTATCTCCTTTAGAACACTTGCCTCATTTAAGGCAAAATGTCTCTCGATTAACAGTTTGAAGTGATAAGGAAATTTAATTAAAAAGTAAATATATTCAGCATATCAAATGATACAGTTCTGAGACGAAGTGCATTATTTTAGATCAATCCTTATAGAACACTGAATTCTTCTACAAGGAGGGCAGTGACTTGTTAGAAAAGACCAGTTGTCTGCGGCCGTGCGGGAGGGACATGTCCTGCCTGTGTCCTTTCCCCCGGATGATGGCGGGCGCCTTGTCCTAGAAAGATGACTGCAGACCTCTTTACAGGCCACATATGCACCAATGCTCCCCAAATAAAATCCTACAATCTCGTTTTTAAAAACTTTTGCCTTGCCCTCTGAGTTAACATTTGTCATTTTTTCTTTCTTTTAAAAAAATTTAAATATTTTATCAGCACAGCTATTTTCCTCGGCAATTTATGATAAGAAGGCTACTCAAATGTGTTCCTTCCTTAGGCTTAATTAAATCTGAGTTCATTCCATTGCCTTTGTTTGGTGGCCTGCATTTTATTCTTTTTCTTTTTTCTTTTCTTTTTGTATATAAAATGAGTTTAAATTTGTCTTTTAAACTCTGCTCCCATATTATAACTGCAGCTGTTGCGTAAGCCTTGAGAGCCATGGATCCAACAAGAGCTGAGCTGGGGATGGCGCTCTTCCAGTTCTGTGATGACAGACCTCGCAACCCCTCTTTCCTCAGAGGGCCTTGGACTTGGGGGATCCATATTTCACTCCCATAAGCACATCACAGAATGACTTTCCGTGTTGGACTATCATAGCCCGCTCTCATTTGCGGCTTAAGTGCCCAAAGTAAATGTGTCTGAATAACTGAAGACTAGGCAAAACGAGGCATTTAATTAATTAATTAATTAATTATATTTTTGTTGATCTCAGAGAGGAAGGGAGATGGAGAGAGAGATAGAAACATCAATGATGAGAGAGAATCATTGACCGGCTGCCTCCTGCACACCCTACACTCAAGATGGAGCCCCCAACCCAGGCATGTGCCCTGACCCGGAATTGAACCATGACCTTCTGGTTCATAGGTCGATGCTCAATCACTGAGCCACGCAGGTGGGGCAAAGCAGAATCTAATTTTAATATAAAATTGAACTGAAGGGCCCTTTCCACTGACTTTTAAAAGGTGGCTCCACGCTGCGGGTGCTGCCCACCCAGCAGAGGGCAGCGCTGGGGGTGGCAGAGGGATGTCTGTGGAGTGACTGGGATGCCAGGGATTCTCTGAGCTCCGGGCAGTGGGACTCACACCACACTCAGGGAGCAGTGGGATGTGTGTGAGCGCCATGCTCTGCGCTCCAGTTCTGCACGCGGAGTTCTCCTTTCACTGCTCCACCGGTCACTCCCCAGCGCCCACTCATTTGTCACTGCCGAGGGCCAGGGCCACTTGAGCCAGGCCTTGGAGCCGCCTGAGAAAGACGGCGGTGATGGAGAGCAGCTGCCAGCCCAGGTGCTGAGCACGCAGTTTCTGAGGGTCCCCTTCCCCAGGGACTCGCCTGTCCAGGAAGAGTGGGCTTGCTAAGGGCGGCCGACAGTGTGAGGCGGGTCCCTTGGTTACACCGCGCTGGCCAGGCAGCAGTGGGCCGAAAGAGGGGGAGATGCGAGGGCACAGTGGGCAGAAGTCTTTTGAGAAAAGTCTGTCTCTGATGTGGGTTTTGTAGGTGTCCTTAGGCTACAAGGCATCTTGGAATGACATGTGATGTGTTTGTCTCCGGCATCATAAGAATGGACCTTTCTGCCCATTACGTTGGGATTTTATTATGAACCTTATCCGTGTC